CAAATATGGATAAAATCACCTGTGCCCTCATGGATCTTGTTGCTAGAAAATAGTCTTAAGAAATCCCTAATAAGGATTAGTCTGATGAATAAAAAAAACGTCCCTTGTGATGGAAAAAATGATTTTGGTTTATACTTTGATAATCAAAACATGTTTTGCTTTAGTGTAATGTGATGTAGATGCCAGGGAAAATTTTTAGTTAATTCAAATGTTAAAACATGGCTGTATTTTGTAAGCAATAAAGAGCCTCTCTGTTGCTGTACCCCTTTTTTCTCCTTCACAAAAGACTCTGACATGCATTTGTTTGGTGCACTTTTTTATCAACAAGGTTTGGTCGTTTTATCAACGACCAAACAGAGCATACAGTTAGATTACCTAAATTATATTATTGTTGGGATTTTCTAAAAACTTTGGAGTTATCTATACAATGATTTCCCATGTTTTTTTTTTTTTTGGAACTGAAATATTTCAGAGTAAATTTAAATATCTTTAAAAATGAGGAAGTTTTTAGCAATGATTAAACCAATGGTTTTCCGACATCTCTTAAAAACTTCTTAATAATACCCTATTTGGTTTAAAAATAAAGCAATCTTTTTGTGGTAGTTGAGATTCTATTACCGTAGTATTAAACACTTAAAAGGCAGTTGGGGTTTCTGTTTTTCAAACGCTTATTGTTACGAATAGAACTCTATAATGGTTGGTTTTCGTTATATATATTCATTTTAATAGTTTGTACTTATAAACAACCTTAAAATATTAGCTGCAAATGTGTGGCCAGCCTTCACTGAACTCCATCGGTCTTCTACGTACTTGCTACGTCATCGCGTAAATGTCTTTCCGGTTCTAGGCAGCCGCCATCTTGTTTCTCTTTGCAAGCTAAATAAAATAAATAATACGCTGAACCGGACTTCACTTCGAACGAACCCGTAAAAGAAAGTAAGAGACTGAAATTAATTTACATTGGTGTTCTTATCAAGATAGCTATCTGTAATGAACGAAAGTGGGGGCAATTACTTGGCATAATTTCATTTGCTGTTCTTGACCAATAGACGATTGTTTTGGAAGATGAACACAGGCGCCATTTCCCTCCCCGCTCTCTGAGGCGCTTATTGGTGGCCCGCTCTAAGGATCACGGGTGGTCAGGAAACTGGTGTTCTGCGGACGCCATTTTGGTGCTTGTATGCTAGGTTGTTAGCGCAGTTAGCCACTTCGATGAGAGCCCGAATGGCGTTAGTTGCAGAACGAACTTATCCTTAAAAACCTTGATTGGTGGAATCTAGTCCGAGGTTTGATTGGTCTGAAGGACAGATCCAAACGTTGTCTTTATTGGTTAGACTGTTTCTTCCAAGCTTTGCAAACTTTCATATGGTGACAGGACTCGTTGGCAGTTAGTGACTATTATCGCTCCTTCGGCGAATAGATATCTGTGCTACACGGCCAGTGAGGTTCTCCAGCAAGCTAGCGTAAACTTCAGTCGTTTATTGTACTGTGCCACCTAATTGACCAGCCGGACATTAATTATTAGCGGAGAAAAGATACCCTGCTGTGGCTGCTCTTTTACGCGTTTAACGTTACCGTTGGTCAGTGAAACGCTGCGCTTTGCTCTGATATTTTAGGAATTATACTCTTGCTTGCTGCCATTTAGTATCGTTTTCAGTTACATTGAAGCTTAAAATGTAAACTTTTAGTTTAATTTTGGAAAACATAGAAAGGAGTTCTTCCCTTTATTTTTTATACTATTATTTGCTGTTGGACATTTTTAATAACATTGATTTTTAAACATGAGTTAGGCCTGTTTTATCCTAATTAGCAAAGTCAACAACCCTTTAAATGCTTAATCCTACACCCACTTTCCTTGGTTATTTAAAGTTAGGAAACTATGCACCCTGCCTTATATATAATACACTGTAGAGATGGACATATACACCGGAAGACCGATATTACTGTTTTATTATTAGGTGTTGGCCGATCATTTGTGCTTTCAGCAGCCATGAGATCAGCTGAACATGTATTGCCACTTCATCTACTTATTTTTAATGTCTTGTTTGAATTGGGTTCTGGTCTAAATTAATACTTTTGTAAAATTTGCAATAATTGTTGTTTTTATCATTTAAATGAAGGATGGGGGGGGAATTGGCATTAAGTATTGGCCAAAAACTATCGGCAGCACATCTTGGGGATCGGTTTGGCTAATGTCAAAATAATTGGCATCGGTCATAAAAAAAAAAAGCGTCGAACTGTAGTACACCATTGTCTAATATTACCAACTTTAACACTGTATCAGACGTTTGTTTTAGTTTTTTATTTGACCAATTTGGTTTTGCTTCTATTTTAACACTTTTCTTCTTCTTGCATTGTTACATTAAATGCTGTGGTTTCGGTTTGTTAAAGTAATTTCTGTTTAAGGTCCGATGTAAACACCTTAGTCAGTCTTGCAACTCTCCCACGGCTTTGCTTATTTCCCACTTAGAATCCCTCTATTCCCTCTTCCCATAGTATCTGCAAAGGTGGCCATACCTTTTGCACTTCATATTTCAGTGCATTTCATTGGGATTTTATACTGATGACCATACTAACTTTTGCTGTCATTGCAGCCTTAATTCTTGCAGGATGCCTCAACATAATCTGCCCATATCCTCCAGCATACTCTCCCTTGCTTACTCTGTATTTAGTTTAATGAATCCTCACACCAATTTCCATATCAAAGCATCTCCATGTATTAAACAGCATCCACTGTGTCTCAAAAATAAAGATACTGTGTCCATAGTGTTGGATTTGTGCAACACATTTATCAGCATATGCCAATTATAATTGTGAAATTTTTCCTTTAATATTTCTGAAGTTCTGCTATTCTTTGTTTCTTAGTCACATCAAGTCACAAAAATAGACTGTTTTAGGTTTTAGTTATAAAGTGGCAAAATGGTTAAAAAAAAAGTTCAAGGTACATGATTACCTATGCAAAGTAAGTGTGCTCCACATTTTTATACCACAGGATGTTCCTTTTATGATGAAAGCTGAAACCTGAATAACCTTTGAGCAAATTAGCCTTCTAACCATTTTGTTTTGCAGGTGGTCATGTGTTTACACGTTTGTGGTGAACGCATGGTTTGACTCGACACCCTGAGGGTGCTGTGTGTTTATGAAACCCAACGTTTGGCTGGCACATGTTTATCTCTAAACAGCATCACTGAAAGCAAACTACGGGCAGTACAGGTCATGGGAAGGTTTCATTAGTATGGTGACCTTGTGTGTCATTGAGGCCTTTTTATTTTGGGTAGCCCAGGACTCAGCTCAACTGAAAAGCACTGTAGCATGTCGGCTGCTCTTGGAGAGCTTAATCTTTCTGCAGCTGCGATGCAATCATTAACCTGATGCCTGCAGTATCTGCCCCAGTCCCTATGTTCCCTGCAAAAATAGAAAAGGGAACATTTAGCTTTGTGTCTCTTGAGTTTCTATCATGTTCCCTCTCCCTCCCTCCACTTGTTCTACCCCTCCCATCCCATAACAACTCTCCTCTCTGTCCTTCTCCATCCTTCCGGTTCCCCTCCCCCCTCCTAGGTTTTTCATTGATGGGACAGGTTAGCTTTTCTTTTCTCTATCCTGACCTTTCTGTTTCACATTATGTTGAAGATTTATATGCAACTGCTTCATAAAACTGGCCTATCTGAAAGGTGTTTTTCCTCAATGATTTGCATATTGTCTGGTACAAAACTCACGATTAGTTATACAATTCAGCAGGAACACCCTGCTTTTATACATCAAAGTTGTCTTCTGTACAAAAAGTTTGCACATCAAGGCAGTCATTGTTTGACAAAAAGGGCATTGTGTGTGACATTGCTGATGTGGCTTTTCTGATGATGTTTTAATTGTGGAAGTTGCTGTGGGCATAGGTTCCTGGGGTCAAAACAACAAGTCTTTGTTTACACATCTCTTGAGTCTTGTTTAACCACAAATAGAACAAGAATCATATTCTGTCTTATCTCTCTCCATCTTTCACAACTGCTGTCCAGTCAGCTGATTTATCTTTAGGAGTTTTTGTGCATAGCTCCTTAGAGAATCTGGTTTTAGAATGAATCTTTGTCCCCAAATAGTATTCATGTGTCTCATACATTTGTTTTACCTCTTAATGCATGTCAATGTTCACTTTGTAGTGTGTTATCATCACTACAATGAATGTCATCACAACAAATAAGGCTGCTTTGAGGCTAAATGATTGCAGTACGTACCTGTGCCTCTTAGCAAGGATAAACGAGAAGGCAAGGACAAAATGTGCATTTGTGTGGATGTGCATGTGAGCCTGTGTACACGCAAGAGACAGGGAGGCTGGTTTTAGTATGCTTTTGTACTTTAAATCATGTGGATGCAACATGCGGCATCAGTTCTGGCATTTCTGTCGACCAATGATGGACGAGCTTTACTGCCTGCATCACCGATGTGTGGGCCTGTAACAGGGGACAAGGGGCGGGGCCGACAAAGACATTTAGTTTGACATTGTAAATAAGCAGAAAGCACTTGTCAGAGAGCAGCCTGTGAAGCTTTTCACATCCAACCAGCAGCTGAAGGGACGAGGACCGCCTGAGAGGAAGGAAAAAAAACATGCCAAGGCAAGCGACTAAGATCACACCCTCACACACACTCCCTGCTGAGTTTTCTGCAACTTTATTTGCTTTTTTTTCACCGACGCTCAGCTGCACTCTCTCTTCCTCTTTTCTTTTCCCTGACCCCTATCCTGCAGCTCAAGGTAACTTAGAGCAGGAAGTTGGCTGTCAGTGAAAGGGGGTTGGGCAGAGGGAGGCGGTGGAGCACTGGGGAGGAGGGGGGGCATGCGCCAACCTATGGTGTGTGAGCACCTCGACCCTCTTATTGGCTGCGTCAGCCAAAGTGAGGTGGGAAGCTGGGTTAGAGGCGGGGCTTGGGTGTCATCTAGCATGCTAGATTGATTACGCTCTAATGTTAAAGGGGAAGGAGGCTGAAGATTTTTTTTTTTTTTTGCGTGTGTGTCAGAAGTACCGCTGTACTGTTTGCTTGCTCCTTTTTTTCTGTTTTCTTCTTGTCCTTGTTTCTGGACTGAGCTGGTGGGGTCAGCTTAAAGACGAACTCATGGGTCACTGACCTAAGTGAGGGAGAAAGGTTAAAAGGGAAAAATGAGTTGGTCAGCAAGTTCGGAGGACTTTGTAAGAGGAGAATTAGTAAAGATGTTTAGAAAGACCTTGTGGACTGCTGAAGAGGACGGAGCAATTTGTAAAGGAAAATGGGGAGGGGGAGGTGGTTCCGTACTCTGAGTCTGGGTTTAGAGCTTTTCAAAGCCGTCCCGTGGAGCCAGAGTGTCTTTTGTCTGCTGATACGATCAGGGAGCTGCAGGAAGTGGAGGAGCATGAGAGTTTTTCTGTCAACCTCTGATCTCCGTGCTGGTCCCCTCAAGGAGACTTGAGCTGGGCTATCTGTTTCAATCTCTTATGCACTCCCAGCAGGCCAGATTGATCACCATGAAGGGCACAGGGTAAGTCTGACAGGTTAACATTGAATTTGTGAACTTAAGTTGCTTTAAGTATCTGAATAAATTCCTAATCTTCTGTCTTTTAAGTCTGTCTCCATCACTCTGCAGGGAAGAGTGTCTGTCCTTTACAGCTGCCCTCACCCCCCGCCCGACCACTCCACACATCTATCTAGGTTGAATTTTCTGTCTTACTTTTTTCTATC